TTACCATAAACCACATTGTTTTTATAGTGTAGGTAACCTGGTACAGCAGCAGGATGCAGTGCCCCAAGCAGACAAAACAGTCTTATCAGTTAGAAACTTAGGGAACCTTCCAAAAGCCAAGTTCTCAGACGCCAGCCAAGTGCCAGTCCCACCCACTCACAAAGTCAAACCAAACCCATTGCTGTGGAGTCGATTCCGGCTCATAGCGACCCTACATGCAAGCCCCCCTAAAGAGCAGCATCAGGCCTGCAATTTAACATTTCCTGCTCATGCTTTTTCAAATCTTTTGCTCACTTTTTAAAATTAAGTTGTTAATCTTATTTTTGAGTTGTAAGAGATCTTCACATATTCTGGATATAAGTCCTTATTTATATACTTTGCAAATATTTTCTCCCAGTTGGTGGGTTGTCTTTATTTTCTTAATGGTGCCCCTCAGAAGTTTGGGCCGGGAAGTAGTATGACCAGCTTTGCACGTGCACACACGCGTGTGCACACACACACAGCTGCTCTGGCTCCCGTGTAGAGAATGAATTGCAGGGGCCAGGAGTGGATGTGGGCAATCCCATTAGGAGTTTGTTGCAGTGATCCAGACAAGAAATGATGGTAGCTTGGACTGGAAGGTGGTAGGAGGGATGGAGAAAAGAGGCTGCACGTGAAGGATGTACATGCAAACACCCATTATAGATTTCCAACAGGAGAACGAAGGTCGAGCTCCCCAAATTTATCTGTCTACAAAACACATTAATATTTTTGTTGTTTTTAATAGTAAAACCCCATTAATTTGTGGGATTCTAGAATGTTCTGTTTGGGAAATGTGGGACCCGATGAACTTTAGAGTCCCTTTTAGTTCTTGCAGCCTAGGGTTCCATGAACAATCCTTTTTGGGGTTATTTTAAAAATTCTAAAATAATCTGAGGTGTGTGCCTGGGTGTACTATTACAGATTGTTTATCAGTCACATATATGTGTATCCAAATGCCGAATTTGGCCCAAGAAAATAACTTCATGACTGAAATTGAACACAATCTATGCATGGAGAGACCCTTGCAGAAAGCGAGGGCAAAAACATTGTTAGCATAGGAAGTGTGAAGACGAGGATAAGAAAATTCATATTCATGTATTAACCCAATTACCAAACGTACCTTGCAAATCCAGAGCGCTAGCGGTTTAAAATGGGATTTCACATCATTCAGTCCCAAGTGACACGGACAGTATTACAAATGAGAAATTCTTTCCTGGGGCTGGGAGACAGCTCTCCTCATTTGGACAGCATATGCTATCACAGGAGAACCTTTATGTAAGACTAGAAATTCTATTTACCCAGGAGCCCAAACCACTGTTGTAGTGTTCTTGCAAAATAAACAACACACCCTGGCCAACGAGATGCAAAGGCAGGCCTGAGAGAATGGAAATGAATGTGAAATCAGGCACGCGGGTCAGTATACACGTGTGAATCTGAAGCACAGCGGTGATACAGGCTTTCTCTTCTGATGCTGATAAAAGGCAGGCTGCATGAATCATTGAGGCAAAGCGAGTACAGAAATGAAGATATATATACCAGTGTGTGTGTGTATGGATTTTATAAAGTAGGTTTTATTGTGTTGTTTTACTTCCGTAGGAGACCATGTATAGGCTCTGAATGGATGTCTTGCCTGTGGGAGCCCCATGATACAGACATGGATCAGAGGGTGCAGGCATACCTGGTGCCTAAGCCTATGGAAAAGCTGGGCAAGGCAGACAGTGGCATGCAAGGATGGCTGTTGGGTGCTCGCTGTAATAAAGAATTCTTTCTTGAGGGGGTGATGATGAATCTAGCTCATCCTGCTGCTCATCTTGCCTCTAAGCCTTTGTACATGCTTTTCCCTCTGCCTGGAAGCAGGTTGCCTCCACCCACCCCAACATCTTCTGAATTCATCCTTCAAGTCTCAAATCCACCATCATTTCCCTGGGGGCCCTGCTGTCTACACTGTCTTCAGGGTGAATCCATTCTGTGGTGCCTAAAGCCCTGGTGGCACAGTGGTTAAGCGTTAGGCTGCTAACCAAAAGGTTGGCAGTTTGAATTCACCAGCTGCTCCTTGGAAACCCTATGGAGTAGTTCTACTCTGTCCTATAGGGTTGCTGTGAGTTGGCATCGACTCGACAGCAACGAGTTTGTTTTGGTTTAAACCTTATAACCACCACCAATCTGTTAGCCTGTTGTACTGTGGTGGCTTGCCTGTTCCTATGATGCTGGAAGCTCTGCCACCAGTATTTCAAATCCCAGCAGGGACATCCATGGTGGACAGGTTTCAAAGGAGCTCCCAGGACTAGCAAGAAAGGCTTAGCAATCTACTTCCAAAAATTGGCCAATGAAAACCTTATGGATCATAACAGAATATTGTCCATATAGTGCTGGAGGATGAGCTTCCACTAGAAGTGGCCTCAACAGTGGACTCGAGCATACCAATGATTGTGAAGACGGCGCAGGACTGAGCAATATTTCATTCTGTTATACATAAGGTCACCATGAGTTGGAGCTGATTTGACAGCAAGTAACAACAACAAACCTTACACAATTTTTAGGATACTTCTTCAGAAAGAGAATAAATATTATGACTTCAAAACTAGATACTCACATACCTAGGACCCCTCTAGGCCCTTGGAAAGAGCCTGGGCTGGTGAGGGACCCTGAAGCTTCATTAGCTTCATGGTGAACCTGCGGGCTGTGGGAAGACATTGTGCACTTTCCCCTGGGGCCCCCATCAGCTTGTAATCATGTTCAGTTGTGTGATGATTTGATTCACACGTCCATGTCCCGCACTGGGCCGTAAGCTTCTTGAGAGTAGAGATGTGTCTGTTTTGCTCATCACTGCATCCCTAGTGCTTTTCCCAGTGCCTGGCACATGAGTGGTCCTCAATAAATAGGATTTGAATAAATAAATCCTGAATATTGAATAATAATAATAACTAGACTTAGGAGTCTCCATTTGCCAGGCTCCGGATGTCACTGCTGAGGGTACAGGGCATTTTTGGATCCTTAGCCTGTAAGAACATGGGAGAGAAAGCCACTATGGGCACTTGGACATAAAGGGAGACCAAAGCTGAGGTGTGCCTGTGAGTTAGGGTGTGGCTTCTATTCCTCCTGTCAACAGCACTGTGCCCCTCAGAACAAACGTGGCTTCATGTGTGAGAGGAACCCTCCGACACTATTCATTTACCAGATGAGTCTATTCTAAGGCTGCTGCTTCCTGATCTTCCCTACTGGGAAGCAGAGAAGCCCTCCAGAGAGAATCTTCTTCATACATGCACACCCTTAAGCAGTGGTTCTTAACCAGGGGTGATTATTTTGCACCCCAGGTAACATCTGGCAATGTCTAGAGGTACTTTTGGTTGTCACAATTAGGGAGACATGACTAGCATACAGTGGGTGAAGGCCAGGGATGCTGCTTAACATCCTACAATGCACAGGACAGCCCCCACCACAAAGAATTAGCAGGCCCCAAATGTCAATAGTGCTGAGATTAAGAAACTCTGCCTTAAACCCATGGGCTTCCTCTCTATCACTTTTCTGAAGACTACAAAGGTTTGCAGAGTTTTGTCTTGTTTTCTCCTCTGCCCTTTCTATACCACACAGAAGAGTGAGGCAATGTTGCTCAGATGGCAAGGAGGAAGAGATCTTCACCAGAGTAAGTGTGATGTAATCTCCATCATACATTCAACTCATATTTATTGCAATAGGCACACTGAATCCCTTAGGAATGCTATTCAAATGCAGATTCCGAGTCAGTAGGTCTGGGGTGGGGCCTGAGAGTCTGCATGCCTAACAAGCTCCCAGGCTATACAAATGCTGCCCGTCAGGGGCCACACGCTGAGTAGCCAATTTCTAGGCACTTGGGATACCGCGGCAAACAAATCAAAGATCCCCTGCCCTGGGGGAGCTTCCAGTCTGGCCAGAAGTGTACTGGGCACAAAGAAGAATGGACAGCTGAAGTTGGAGGCACTCAGGGTCTTAGAAAACTAGAGCTGAAAGAGAATTTAAGGACGTACAGTTGGTATGAGGAGTCCCTGGGTGGCACAAACTGTTAAGTGCTGGGCTACTAACCAAAAGGTTAGTGGTTCGAACCCACCCAGAAGTACCTTGGAAAAAAGGTCTGCCAGTATGCTTCTGAAAGGTCACAGCCATGAAAACCCTATGGAGTCCAACGCCACTCTGAAACACACGGGGTCGCCATGAGTTGGAATCAACTCCATGGCAATTGGCTTAATTGGTAGGGAAACTGAGGCTCACAGCAGGAAAGGGAGTCAATCAGAGTCACACAGCTTGCGGTGGCAGCTTTTGGACAAGGCTGTTTTGACTTCTAGTTCCCTGAATTATCAGTATTTTCGGGGACCTCTTGAGGGCAGAGGTCAGTCAGGGTTGGGGGTGGCTTTAGCAGTTGCAGGGTGGTGGTGTGGGGACTCCCCACAGGACGGTCCCACCACTCTGGATCCAGAAAACCTGATTTCCTACTTCACTCATCTCCTTATGATACACATGCAGACACTGAGATATTTGGGGGAGATACTAGATTCCTCCTGTTTGACCCTTTGCTTTTTCTGCTTAACTAAATCTGTAGGGTAAAACGATGGGGCAGTAAATTCTGAATGCATTATACCACCTGGTCAGCAAATGTAAAGGGGAAACCCAAACAGAATCAGGCCAATCAAAACTGCTTCCTAATCCGGGAGGGGTGTGACCGTTCCTCTGCCGTACCTGAGGCTTCCGTTCCCAACTTCCAGGGCGACCAGAAGGGAGCCATTCACCCGGCGCTTCAAATTAGAAAGCTGTTTGTATCCTGTTGAGAAGAAATTGCTTCCTTCATGGCTAGTACCTGGGAACATGAACCTTTAAATTCATGCCAGTTGGACTGGAATAGTAGCAAATTTCATGGAGTAGCTAAAAAAGAGCAACAGCTGGCACCTCAGGCATGAATAATATAACAAAGGAAGAACAAAAGAGAAACTTTTCATTAGTACTTTTTTGATGTCAATTTATTATTTATCTCTTTGCTGATATTCAAACAGGCAGGCAGTCATAAAACATTTAAAAACAGCCTCTAACACAGCCAAGGCATCTGGTTTACCTCAGTTCCTTTTAGAAATCCTGAAATCAGGAGCCCTGGCGTTTATAGGACAGCGGTGTTAAAAATATCGTTGTATCAAAAATAGTTTGAGGATCACTCCTTAGAGTTTAAATTTTATCAGTGGCCAGTAGGCAGGCAGAGAATGGTTCCTAAGGGAAGATTCAGTGTAAAGCAGCAAAGTGCTGCTTCCAGATTTTTCACTCCTCAATTAATACTATTCTGCTTGCAAAAAGGGTGGCAACAAAGCCTACTGTTGGGTAAAATTAACATCCTGTCAAATCTCTCCAGTCAAGACCAGCACAGTGCGTGTTGAAGAACACATTGTGGGTCGTTTTGATATGACTCGGGGCCCCTGCCATACCCGCAACAGGGGTTGGTGTGCACGCTCCCTGTGGCTTGTCACGATTAACTATTTGCATAAAATAAAAAGGCCTCTTCATCTAGGGGTTCTGAGAGACTGCCTAATCCTACTGACCTGCCACCATCTTCTTTGAGAAATGTCTATTCCTGAGATGTAGACAGAGAGATCCCAAAAGAAGGAATCGTTCCTGGAGCAGAAAACTCCTCAGAAGTAAAATCGTTGCAGAAATAAAACAAATAAAAAAAGAAAAAAAAAAACAAAAACCCTAACAGCCCTCTCCCCAGAAGGAGCTCAGTGGAGGAGCAGCTGGCTTTTGGAATCCCACCTGTCTGTTCTTCGTTCCTCGGGGTGCTTTTGCCTGTCTAGGGACTGTCCCTGGTGTAGAGCTTGTGGTCCTTGATGTAGGTGATGACAGCATCGGGGAGCAGGTACTTCACGCTCTGCCCTTGGCCCAAGGCGCGCCTGATGTACGTGGCGCTGATCTCATTCTGCACAGGCTCCCTGGCCAGGTGGATGTTGCGCTGGTACCTCCGGAGGATGGGCGATTCTAAGATGTACCCCTTAGGGTCGTGGCCTGCCCGGCCCACGCACACCAAGCCGAACTTCTCCACTATTTCCTGGATGTGCTCGTCTTTCCAGAGGTTGGGAGTCTGGAAGGTCTTCAGGACATCTGCCCCGCAGAGCAGCTTCAGCTCTGGCACAGCTGGAAAAACAAGGGTGGATCTCAGCAAAGTTACACCAGGGTCACTTCCAGTAAAGATGACAACATATTCTTTCTGAAAATTTCACAAAATGCTTTCCTTGGGATGTTTCAGAACTCAAATGTCGCTGTGTTCATGACTTAAAAAAAAAAAAAAAAAAGCATCTAAATGAACCTGAAGCTACTTCCGGATATATAACCAGTAAACCAGTTGCCATGGAGTTGACTTCAACTCACGGTGACCCCATGTGTGTCAGAGTAGAACTGTGCTCCATAGGGTTTTCAGTGGCTGATTTTTCAGAAGCAGATCACCAGGCCTTTCTTCTAAGGCACCTGAGTAGACTTGAACCTCCAACCTTTCAGTTAGCTGCCAAGTTTGTTAACTGTTTGTACCACACAGGGTGAGTAATAATTTAATCATTTTTTTTAAAAAAAAAAGTATCTGTAAAGCGTCATGTAATACAAAAGATTTTTTTCCTCTTATAACTGAAGTCTGCCTGTGGGTGCTGGATCCCATGGCAGAGTGGTCCAAAGTGGCTGGGCTGTACCGAGAACCACATCTTCCATTAGAAGGTGAGGTTCCTAAAGCCTTCAGGTCAAGGAGCCATGGGCCTCGCCTCAGGCAAGTCGCTGCCTCGCTTAAAATCCATTTCAGAAATCCATTTCTTCAAACTCTGAGATAAGGCCTAGTTCTTTTATAAGTACAATCTCATAAGGTTAATTATAAAGTATCTTTGGATAACCAAAAGATCCCTAAGACCCTGCCTCATGACCCTTTCATTTTATTTTTCAATGAAACAAAGCGCTAGAACAACTGATCAATGTGGATAATCCTTTGGAATTTGTTCTAACAGGAAGATGACTGTGATGATAAAATAATACCTAACATTCTCCGGGTGCTTACTATGGGCAATATCGTTAAGCACTTTATGTGTATAATCTCATTTGATCCTCACAGCAACATTATGAGGAAGGTATTACTGTTGTACCCATTTTGCAGAGGGGGAAACTGGGGCTCAGGGAGGTAGGTAACTTGCCTGAGGTCACACAGCTATGCAGAGGAGTTCCAGTTCAAACCCAGGCAGCCCGGCTTCAGACTAGGCAGTCGTAACTGCGAGGCTCTGCTGCCTCCTGCTGGCAGGAGCACTCAGGGCCAGGCTGGGATTTTCCTGACCCCACTGTTCATATCCCTTTTGAATGGGCCAGTCTAAAAAGGAAAAATCAAGTCCACACTAGAAGCAAGTGGCAGGATCTCTGGTCTTTCTGGAAGCCAATGCCAGCCTCAGAAGAGGACAAAGGCTGGGGGTCTAGAGCACTGGCATCTCCCAGTCACCAGGAAGCTGCAGTTAGGAGGGGCTTCTGGGCTACCACCTGCTGGGGCAAACCTAATGTAAACGCCCGTTCAGGCTACTCTAATGCGGAACCTTGGAGGGAATCTGAGCTGGGCGAGAAAGGGCTCTACAAAGGAGCACTGGACTGACTGGGGAATGGAACATGAAACTGAGAAACGGAGGCTCGTTCAGAGGTCTGAGTTCTGCCTCAGTTGGGCCACGTGCTGCTGTGAGGGCTGGGGCCAAGGGGCCTCCTTCTCTGGGCCTCAGTGTTCCCACCCATGAAGTCATGGGCGTCAGACTCGTTTACTCATTTTAAAATGGCAGGTGGAATTACGGGAACACATTTTCAAGCACTCTAGCAGCATAATTACAGGTACAACAAAGGAGTATAATGAAAACTCTACTCAAACATTTGTACATTCATGTATGCACGCATTCTGAGTGGTTAAGAACTAGGACTCTAGAACAGACTCCTGAGGTTCAAATTCTGGCTCTGCCATTCAACAACTTGTGTGACTTTGGGCAAGTTACTGCTCTGTGACTCAATGTTAAATTGAGGATATTAACGGTACTTACCTCACAGGGACATTTTAGAATTAAAGAAACAAACAAAACCAAACAAAACCATTGCTGTCGAGTCAATTCTAACTCATAGCTACCCTATAAGACAGAGTAAAACTGCCTCAAAGGGTTTCCAAGGAGTGGCCAGTGGACTTGAACTGTTGACCTTTTGGTTAGTAGCTGAGTTCTTAATCACTGTACACGAGGCCTCCAGAATTAAATAAGTTCATAAATGTAAAGTACTTAGAGCAGTGCCTGGCACAGAGTGTGATATGTGTTAACTGTCATTCATTCCTTTACCCATCTATCCATTTATCTAAACATCTATTCAACATTTATGGAGTATCTCCTGAGCGACTCACAGCGACCCCGTAGGACAGAGTAGAACTGCCCCACAGGGTTTCCAAGGCTGTAATCTTTATGGAAGCAGACTGCCACAGCTTTCTCCCACAGAGCGGCTGGTGGGTTTGAACCGCTGACCTTCCGGTTAGCAGCCGAGTGCTTAACCATTGCACCACCATGGCTCCTGAGGTGTTGTATAGTGGCTGCCAATATGATTTGTCCTAACAGTGAGAAAGACGCATTAAGTAGAATGTTCGTGGGCATATCGGGGTTAGTGTCTTGTCTTCGAGTAGTCACGGGCTCCGAAAGGCAGGTGAAGCAGAAACGTACCTACAATGTGGGGTAAGGGCCGTCAGGACCTTTTCGTTTGCATGTTTGGTTGTGCTCAATCTATGACATCAAAGGTACCAACCCTGAGGCCAGTCAGCAGGGGGTTCGAATTGTAGATCTGCTGGGACGCTGGGAAAGTTACTTAGCCTATGAGCCTCAGTTTCCTCAGCTGTAAAATGGGGATAACAAAATCTTCTTTGGAAGTTATGGCAATTGTATGACGGAGACAATGCAATGTGCAGTGCCTGCCTGGTGCAGCATATGAACACGGCACCCCACAGACACACTGAGATGGGTGTTGCTGGGTAGGTTTGAACCGCCCACCTTTCAGTTAGCGGCAAAGTGCAAACCATTTGCGCCACCCAGGGACCGGCATCTGGCACCTTGGAATATTCAGTGTAAAATGGAAACAGATGAAGTGCCTGCTCTAGGTGGGTGGAAGGGGAATCCTCTGAAGGTTACTGTGCTGTGCTCAGCCCGTCGGCCAAGGGTGGGACCATCCTTCCCAGAAGACAGACAGACAGAGTGGGGCTGTTAAAGGGCTTGAGGTGTCATCCATCCCAGAGTGTCACATCCAAGCGGCCCAGAACTCAGCAATCTACAGGACTCTGTGGGTGAGTCCCAGGAGGGTTGCAAATCACAGGAGGGACAGGCAACGCAGGGCTCTGGCAGCCAGAAGATGCTGAGATCATCATGAAATCTGCAGCCCCGCAGCGCAACAGCACGCAATAAAATACACAGCACACAAAATGGCCCTTTATAAATATGTCACTGGTAACATACACGCCACCTCATCAAAAGCCAAACTCAGGCTGAGAAAAACCCCAGCTTGCTTTTTAAAATGGCTCTGTTTTGTTTTTTACCCTGATTACAAACATGAAATCTGTGTTCATTATGGAACATATGAAAAGTACATACTTCAAGCAGAAAACAACAACCATTGATAATTCTGCTTCCTAAAAAAAAAAAAAAAATCACTATTTTGGTGTATTTCCTTAACATGCAAATAGATACGAAAGTATATTCACCTACTTTTTTACGTACTTGAAATCATAACAGTATTATATCTTGATTTTTCCAGTCACCTCATAAACATTTCTCCATTATCCTGAAAACCTTTTGTGTAGATGCTTCATCCTATGTATACAGTATAATTTACTTAAACATTCCCTTATGTTTAAATATCGAGGTTGCTTTTATTTTCTGCCATTGGAAAGACTGCTGTGATAAATATCTTTTTTTTTTTTTTGCGTAAATCTTTGTCTCAATTTCTAATTATTTCCTTAGCCAGATTCCGAGAAGCGGTATTTATTGATCAAAAGGCATGAACATTTTTAAAGCCCCTGATATATTCTGATAAATAGAAAGGCCTACTTTCTTTTTCTGTTTGGGATTTTCAATGCACTTTATTTGTAAAATCAAAAGGGCAATTTTACACAGTGCTAATGATGTCTGACTGAGATAACTTAAAATGCATAGCATCCATAATTGCTACCATTGACAGTCATAATAATTTCTTAAATAGAATGAGTAACAGAAAAATATCTATCAAAAATCCCCAATTTTTGAGATGTTTTCATGTAAAATATATTTTAAGGAGTTTGTGAAACCATAAAAACTCTGATAATGGATATCCATAACATCACCATTTACGTACTACTACTGTCTACTGTTACGACTAATAAGTTGTACATATATTTAAAAAACTAAAATTGAAAATGATTTTGTCACTTGAATGTTTCTCAATTACCAGAGACAAAACACGGAGCTACTACCATTTGTCGAAGCTGTAAAGCATCTGTCAGTTTTGAAAGGCCTACTTTCTTTCAGTGGAAAAGCCCTTTTTTACCAGCTGCTCTAGAAGAGAACAAAATGAGAAGTATGTAGGGCCTGAACAGAGAGACGGGGGGTAAGGGACAAACCCCAACATTATGGTGCCAAGCAGAATAGGGTAAGGGCCACTAGAAAAATAATGTGGACTGAGAGAGGCCATCCTAATGAAGGCGGCTGGGCCAGTTTCACAGGGAGATGGGATTCTGACTGAGCCCCAGGAGGAGGAAAGAAGGGATAGGCCAGGCAAAGAGCTGGGATTCTGGAAGCGTCTGCTGAAAGGTGAAGCGTGAGAGGCTGAGCTCCTCAGCATGACAGTCTCTCCCGGCATCACTCTGGCTGCTCCCTGCTCTCACTGGATGAGGCTCCAGCTTCCCCAGTGGGACGGAGTACCCACCCTTACCCGTTTCCTGCTTACTCAGGCTGTCCCTCTGCCCAGAAAGGCCCTCAGCCCCAGATAACCCACAAGTCCTACTAGTGCTGGTGCAGGGGTCTCCTCTTCCAAGAAGCCTTCCTTATCCATGCCGGTGCTCCCCACCATTCAGACGCCTGTCTCCCCAGCTCTGGGCCGGGGCTCGCTGGCTGTCTCTGTTCTCAGCCTGAGCCCAGAGCCTGGCCCCAGAGGTGCTCAGGAAGCGTCTGCAGAACCCTGATGGGAGAGACTGCTGAGGCCGAGATGATACAGACAGAAGGCAGAAGGCTGAGGATGGAGCACCGGCGCATCGTGACTGGGGGCCGACTGAGAAGGAGCCCACGCAAGCGATGAAGGACAGACAGAGAGACCAGAGGGATATAATGAACATCACACAAGTGGATTATACAGGAGACATTGTAACTCCTTCTTTCTCAGATTCCTACTCTAACGTGTAGTTCCCAAAACTGGCTGTAAGGCCAGTCCCCAGAGCATTTATTAAAAATCCAGATTCCTGGGCCCCACTCTCATTCAGGAGCTCTGGGGAGTGGCCTGGGAATCAGTGTTTTTAACACGTCCCTGTGGGTGGTTCTTTGAGCAGCATTTGGGGACAGCTGCTCCAGGGCATGTCATGAAACTTCAGCCTTTAGGGCCTGGTGGCATTTTCAAGGCCTTTTAGAAGAGCGTTTTCCAGGCTGTGCTCTCGGGAGCACTAGGTCTGAGAAATATTAATATGCGTTAAACAAATATTTTGCGATCCAAAATTTATAAGAATCGCTGCAGGCTATTTCCCTTTCTTGTAGAGTCCCAATGCACATGAACACAGTAAAGCCTCTGAAACGTCCTGCACTAAAGACATTATTTTAGGTCTGTTTGATCTTGGCCTTCCCAAGCCCTTCTGATCTGGAAATATTGTGCCACCAATCAAAGCTCGGAGCCCCTGCAGTAGGAAGCCCTGCAGCCTGACCTGCTGGAATTCTGGCCCAGTGACATCTTGCTCATGCCCTGTCCTGCCCTCCAGCCCCCATGCCATGTCCCTGTTAGTCTGCACGAGGGGGCTGTGCTTTTGGCCCCGGGCACCCAAGTGGCCATTAAAGAAGAGAAAGTGACCTGGGTCACGGCCAGCAAGATTCCACCAAACACTAGGAGTTGACAACAGGGTAGAAAGCCAGGATTACAAATTAAGAATATAATCCAAATTAGCTTTAAATTCCCTTAAAAATAAGTTTCCTCATCTGTTTTAGTAAACCATTGTGTGAAATGTCTACAGAGCGGCTGTAAAGGGTTAGTCTCTCTGTTAAAGTTTTATAATGGCACACTGTGTATTCAAAACGGTAGAGGCTTTTAAAAGAACCTCAGCATCACTCACCAGTTTATCCCTGTGTGGCCTTGCCTGTAATCCATGTCACAAGCACAAATCACAAGGGGAGGTAAGCTCATTTGGGGCAGGAAGTGCCAAATTAGCATAACAATTCACAAGGGGGTGTTGGTGGCGGTGGGTTGTCTAATCGGACCTTTCAGTCTCACAAGTGTCTTCCATCCAGGCAGGCCTGATTCCTTCTCAGTCCAGAGGGCTAGACTCAAGTCCCCACGGCTGTGACCACCCTGGTTCTCACAAGAATGCCTGACACCTCACCCTCTACAGACAAGAGGGTCAGCACCCACCTGCAGGGGCCAGGGAGAGTGCCTTGTCGCCGGGGCCTTCCATCTGGGGCAGGGATCTGAGCAGTTCGCTGCGGTGATGCCTGTGTCATAAACATAGGGCTCAGGCTGTGTCCATCCTCCAGCCCCCACAGCCACCCAGGGGCTCTCGGATTTTAAGTCTCAACCTGCTTGGGTTCACTCATTCCCCAAATATTTGTGGAGGGCCTCCTATGTGCCCAGCACTGTGCCACGCACGTGCTGGGGTAGAAAGCAGATACCGCACAGATCCTCATGGAGTGTCCTGCCCAAGACAGTTCACTGCCTTCTGAGGGACCTGCGTGAAGGCAGGGAGATTAGCACAACCCCATCTTTTAACATTTTCTTTCAATTGTTCTCACTTTTTAACAAAGAGAGTCAGTGTTGAGTAGTGGTTAAGGACATGGGCTATTAGAATCAGACAGAACTGAGTGAAAATGGCTCAGCATTTCCTAGTCTTGTGACTTCAGACCATCTTCTTGGAGCCCTGTGTTTCCATTTGTAAAGCGGGGATAATGACACCTACTTTCTAGACTTTAGTGAAGGCAAATGAGCTAATGTACATGAAGCACTGGTACAGTGCGTGGCCCACAGCTAGCTCTCAATGGGTGTGTGCTCTCTGGTTATAAGCTAGTAATTTGGAACTCCATAGGACCTAGGTCAAGAGTCGAGTTTCTGGAGCCGGGCGGTCTGGGTTGAGTCCCTGCTCCCCTTCTGGCCGCTGTGTGACCCTGGCCATTTCAGGTCTCTGTGTGAATGCTTTCTCGTCTGCAAAATGAGGAAATATGACAGTAGCTGCCTCCAGTGGTGGTTGTGAAGATTAAAGGAGTTAAAACACGCAAAAGCGGGTTGAACAGTACTCCTTCAATGTTAGCATTTAAAATAGGATTACACTTAATGCCATTTTGGCATGGCCAGCTTTTTAGCAATCCATCTTCTGCAAAGGAAGAGACACCTGCACGTTCTTTTTAAAACAAAAACAGGTAATCACTATACACCCTTTCTCCTATCAATTTGAACTTCTATCTTCTACTCACCATATTAGGCATCTACTAAGCTGTGTTTGGGAGGGAGCAGTGCCTGGTGGAAAAAGCATGTGCTTTGCAGCCAGAGTGAGTGGGTTCAAGTTCAGGCTCTATCTCCTGTATGACCGTGGACAAGTCACTAACGTTTTTCTGGAGCCTCACTGGGTGTGAAAATTAACACCAGCCTTATCTGTGGTGAGGAGCACAAACTCAAACGAGAAAGTGCTTCTACCCTGTAAAAGGCCAGGGAAGCAGCCCGATGCTGATTATTATGGGGACGGGGGGCAGTCTGATGATTAGGGTCTAGAATTAGACTGCCTGGGTTGAAATTCTGATTCCAACTAGTACCTGTGGAATCTTGGGTGGATTCCTTAAGCAATCTGTCTCCAGTTTTCTCATCTGTAAAATGGGGATAATAAGAGTACTTACTCCATAGAGTTGTGAGGACTGAGTGAAGAGATGTATACAAAAAGCACCCAAAAAAATCAGTTATTATTATCATTAAGGAGCCCTGGTGGCGCAGTGGTTAAAGCGCTTGACTGCTAACCAAAAGGTTGGTGGTTGGAAACCACCAGCGGCTCCGTGGGAGAAAGATGTGGCAGTCTGCTTCCACAAAAATTTACAGCCTTGGAAACTCTATAGGGTTGCTATGAGCCAGAATCGACCAGATGGCAGTGGTTCTGGGTTGGTTTTGGTATTATCATTGCTCTCAGTCTATTCCTTCCCTCCGTCAATTGTGAACAGGGATCCCATTTTATTCATCTTTATAGTTTCTTAGTATCTAGGAGAGTGATCCACTGAAGGCTGCTGAATGCATGGATGACAGGAGTGGATAAATAAGTACGTTTAGCCCAGGTCCAAAGTCCTTCCTGATTACCTGGCTCGGCAGCTGAGTCTTCTTAGGGCCTGGCTGAACTCTGGCTGTAATTACTGTCCTTACTGCTCTGGTTTTGGTGAGCTTCATCTCTGAGGATATACTCCTGGGTTGGTCTGGACTTTAGTGTCAGATTGAAGTAGGTTTGAGTCTCACTTCCACTTATTAACTTAGAATTTGTGTATGTTATTAAGCCTCTTTAGAGCCTCTGCTTCTTCATCTGTAAAATGGGGCTAAACCCACCTATCACTCAGGGTTGCTGAGCTGACTAGACATAATAAATGACTTATAGTAAGTAATGAATAAAAGGTGGTGCTTATCATTTTATTTTACTGACCTTGAAGCTCCTAGTTCAAGTTGACCCTTCTCTGAATATTAGCTGGATCGCCAAGCTTTGTTGTACAAATGATTACTCCCAATGCCAAATGCATTTTCCCCACAGACTTCCACTCTGCCTCTGTGGCCAGTGGCCACTGCTCTTCTTGTTGTCTGTCTCAGTGGTCCCCTGGTCCCCAGGGCCTGGGGACTGACCTGGGAGCATGTTCTCTGTGACCTCAGCAGTCTTACTGACCTCCAGGGAAGCCCTATCAGAGGGTCATTGTGGCAGCAGCAAAGTCAGCCACTTCGTGTTCCCAGCCTCTAGACCACCTTCCGGAAGATGGCCATAAGCATGGTTTTGGAGTCCACCAGACGGGGGCTCCACCACTTGCTTATTTGTTGTGTGCCCTTGATAAACTTAGCTCTTTGAGCCTCAGTTTCTTCATCTGTCAAACGAAGACAACATGAAGACACATGAGATGATGATGGTGATGGACTTCAAATGACACTGTGACCAAGGCCCTCGCCCCCAAACATGGGGAAGAGGTGAGTGAAATGTTACCAAATGCCCTTTAAAGCATGAAAGTTGGCCTAGATTTAAAAAAAATGAATAAAAATAAGCAACCTGATATGGAGAAAAAGTATCCCCAATGAACCCCATGGCAAGTTTACATCAAAGTAAGATCGATGTCACTATGACACAATTTATGTCAATGTCACTATGATGTAGAGTCACCGTGACCCCATCAAGAGGATAGTAAGTGGAGCAAAAAGTAGGACAGATTTCTACCATGCTTCTAAAACCATATGGCTACAATTGTAACCAGATTTTTAAAACCTTAAAAAATGCATTTGGTAATTTTAAGAAAATGTTAGTAATTCAGCAAATTCTATAATGCAATGCAATGGATACATTTTGGAGAGGACGCTCACTCTAAATAATGAAAACATCTTCTTAATGAGCTGTCTTATACAACTGTATTGAATATTTATATCACAGATTCTCAACCTTGGTTGCATAAAAGATATTGTATGGGGATGTTTAAAAAAAAATACCCAGGTCTACCCCAGACTGACCAGAATCTCCAGGAGGTGAGGATTTTTAAAGAGCTTCCCAGGAGATTCCTACAGCCAGGCTGAGACCACTGGTTGGATGAATCTCAGCACCAGTCATAAGCTTGACTCATACAGTTGGTGTCTGAGACTGTGGGGCTTAACCCTGGCCACCCATTAGAATGCCCAGGGGAGCCCTTAAAAATCCCAGTGATGCCCCACCTGACCAATTACATCTGGTCTCTTGATGAGACCCAGGCATCAGTACTTTTAAAAGCTCCCTCGGTGATTCCAGTTGGCAGCCAGCATTGAGAAGCACTGGACTAAGGGATACAGTAAACAAATGAAGAGAGAAAGACAGTATGTTCAGTGACTCTCCACTCACACCTGCATTGTGCAGCAGTGCACCAGACACATGACGTAGTACTGGGGTCAGCTCCCATCTCTCCATGAATGGCTAAACTGTTTTGAGGATAAATTATGAGCCAATGTTAGGGATGCAGGGAAGGTACCTAACATTATTAAGCACTTACCATAAACCAGGTGTTTTGCCGACATCATCTCTTTTAATTTGCACTGGATCCCAGTGAAGTAGGTGATGTCATCCCTGACTTAATATGTGAGGAAATGAGGCTCAGGGAGGCTAAATCACTTTGGTCACATCACTTAGCTAGCAAATTTGGCTCCAAAGCCTGTGCCCTAGGCCACCCTGCCTTTCACAAGGTGGCAGAGAAAAAATGTCTGTTTCTGGCTACATATTAAAGCTAAATGACTTGCTGGATTATCTATTGCTTTGCTTCTATCTCCCTCTATTAGGCTAGATAAATGAGAGATGACTATATGCCTCATTCTAAAAGGATGATCTAGCTGTCAATTTATTCCTCATATAATTTTCAATGTAAGGTTTTTTGCTTATACCAGTAGGTGGTTAAAAAAAAAAAGGCAGCATGCATCCTAAACAATTATTTCCTATTTTTATTCTCCTTTTAATTTGGCGATAGGTTCTGAAGCAGCAGTGTGACTGCTGAATGCTTCCAGTTAGTTCTTTCTGGAGTAAAAAGCAAGTCATAAGAACCAGGAATGGAAACTACAAGGCTAAGTCACTCTCAAGTGACTCTGAGGATGAGTAAAAAGTGAAAACCAAAATAGATTATGAAGAGGCCTGCCAATTATTCAACCTGGTCCCTTGTTCTCTGACAAATCCTAGTGCTTCAAGATAGACAAAAGACATGGCCCACGATTTGCAATCCCTTCTGGCAGAGCTGGTTGTCATTACTGACCGGCGGGCCTGGCCCACCTCACAGCTCTGACAGCTGGGGGCGGTGGGCTTGTGGGTCCCACAGGTGAGACCTGCTTCTCTGGTAACCTCCCTCCAAGGTTTCCAGACACAAGTCAGTAACATATCTCCCTAATGTACAGAGTCTTTTCAACAGTTACATTACTAATGCTGAACAGTAACAGCAATTCCAAAAGAAAAAAACCCTGAATAACTATGTTTAGATTTATAGTCTATTTTTTTCCCCTATTTTAAATAAAAGTCTGAATTTGTAGAACCCAGGACTTGTACAATCAGAAAAGATGGCTTATTATCTAAATTCAGTTTTCAACCCCCTTTCCTAAATATTATTATGTGGTCTGGGTCACAGAAAAAGTTACTTACGTTTTTTAGTCCTCCTTAGGTTTTATTGTCCTCATTTTGCATGTGAGAATGGGTCTCAGAGAAGTTAAGTCACTTGCCCAAAGTCGCAGAGCTAGTAAGTGGTAGCCCTGGAGCCCTAGTGCCACAGCCGTCTGCAACAAGAGTGGGCGTTTCCACCGAGTGCGTCCTGACCCTGGGCTGGAGGGCAATGGTTTGTAACTTTTTTTGCTCAGGAACATCTCTGAGAATGGGAATCTATTGGTCTCTCTCCTGAAGGTGAAACATTTCTTGGTTTTGGCTGAGAAGGCCCGGACGAAGCCCCACTCAGCTCTCAGACCCCACCATTCACCTGTGGGCTCTGCAGATGCCTCCCTCGGCCCCTGGCCCTCACATGAGAAGACGCCCACCATTACCTCAGCACCTTCACCGTCTCCATCCACTGTGCTTGCTCACTCTCCCAGGAATCCACCTGGATCCAGTCAGATGTCTGTAGGGCCAGCCGGGCCATGGCCACCCGGTGGTGGGCCGCCACGAGGTCTTTCTTCCCATAGTTGTCATTGACGGGGGAGATGATGCCCTTGATCACCTGGTACACACCTAGGCAAGGTAGAGCAGTGGCATTGCACACACAGAAGCTCGCCACCTGGCAGCCTGAAGTCAGGCAGGTGCTGAAAGTCTCCTGCCTCGTCCTGAGTGGGAGCAGACCTTGGCATTCTTTCCTGGTTGCACCAGCTCCCTTAGGCAACGGCAAAGTTGCTACCTCAGGGACCAGGCGCCTCTCTTCCAGAGTCTTCTACAGGAGAAGCACTCTTGCTGAGAGGAAGGCTGTGGAATGGACCTCAGGCCAGGCCAGGCTCCTATACAGCAAAGTGGACAGTTAGGGTCAGAATGTGTTTGAAGAACATCATGATGTCCTCCTGTGTGGGATGTAACAGGGGCACCACTGTCGTCTAATGATGTGTGGGACATAGTTCATGTAATTACTTAGCGCAAATGGGATTTTGTGGGTCAAAGATGAAGGGATGGGTTCTAGCATGAGCTGGGCTTAGCGGGTGATGGGATGTAAATGGCCTGTAGGCACCCACTGTTGACTTTGGCTGCATGTGGCATGCTGCTAAGGGACTGGGAAGGCCTACTTTCCTACTTTGAAATAGACACGGGCTGGACAGCTTAGAGATGCTGCATGGCTCAGGGGCTGGAGAATGGGGCATTTTAAGTTTAGAGCTACAGTGATGCTAAAGAAGCTACAGAGAACCACCAGCATGGAAAGAGCACGGCTGGGGCTCAGAGCCTCAGGTGGGGGCTCCAGGTCCATCACTTAACTGGAATGCCTTAGGCAAATTACCAAGTGATTGAAAAAAATAAAAAACTTAGACATTTGAACTTTGGTTTTCCCATCTGTAAAATGGGATAATGCTTGCTTGGCAGGACCTTGCTATAAGGGTGAAATGAAGTAATGTTTATGCAGTGGGATACTATATTGACTTAGTAGATAATGTATTTCTTTGTAAAATTGTATTGTGAAATGTAGCAGGCACACAGAAGGGCATAAAGCACAGGCAGTTTGCAAACAGTTATAAAGTATATCCTGTTTCAACCGTCATCTGGTGAGGTACGGAACACTTCTGGAACCCCGGAAGTTCCCTTTCACAATCCTCACTCTGATGGGAGGTAATCACCATCTTTACTTTTATGATATCAATTGCCTGCTTTCCTTTATAGCTTTACCACATAGTTGCATATCCTTCGAAAACACAGATTCATTTGCCTGCTTTTGACATTTTTACAAATATGTAGAATCATACTGAACAGATTTCTTTTGTTATGCCTTTTTCACTTTAAAACAAAAAAACTAAACCCGTTACCGTCGAGTCGATTCCGACTCATAGAGACCCTATAGGACATAGGAGAACTGCTCCGTAGAGTTTCCAAGGAGTGCCTGGTGGATTCAAACTGCCGACCTTTTGATTAGCAGCTATAGCTCTTAACCACTATGCCACCGGGGTTTTCTTCTTCACTTTAGGTAAATAAAATTCAGGTAGTCCGTCCAGTTCTATTGCTGTATTATATTCCTTTGTATGACTGTATACCAAATAACTGAGCTACTCTACTCTTGATGGAGTTGGTTTGACGCTGGCTGTGGACAGTTACAAACAATGCTGCCATGAAAAGCCTTGCACGTGTCTCCCTGTGCACACAGGGACACGTTCCGCTAGGACACGTGCCTAAGAGTGAAACTGCCAGGTCATGGCGTAGGTGTGTTTCCAGCTTCCTTACACATGATGTTTGCTGCAAGTTTTCTGTCGATAGTCTTTTTCAGTGGTGGCAGAGACAATGCCACGTGTTCACTAAAACCTGCTTACAGTTTTCCTCCTCCTGGGCACACAGGAAGCTAACGTTTCTCAGTTTCCCTTGAAACTGGGTTGGGTTTATGTGATTTGACTGAGTTATGGTCAATGGGATGTGGGTGGGAGTGATGTATGGCTCATCCAGGCTTGGCCATAAAAACTCTTGCATGATCCCCTAGCTCTCTCATGGCGAATCTGGGAGCCACATTTTCAGATTGCAAAGCCACAAGATGGGGCCTAGTGGAATCCCTGAGACACTGCTTAGAAGGAAACTGCTGTCATGGATTAAATTGTGTCCCCCAAAAACGTGTGTGTCAATTTGGCTGGGCCATGATTCCCAGGGTTGCGTGGTTGTCCTCCATTTTGGAATTGTAATTTTACTTTAAAGAGGATTAGGGTGGGATTATAACACCACCCTAACCCAGGTCACATCCCTGATCCAATGTAAAGGGAGTTTCCCTGGGGTGTGGCCTGCACTGCCTCTTATCTCTTGTAAGAGATAAAAGGAAAGGGAAGCAAGTGGAGAACTGGGGACCTCATACCACCGAGAAAGCAGTGCCAGGAGCAGAGCGTGTCCTTTGCACAAGGGGTCCCTGAGCGGAGAAGCTCCTAGTCCTGGGGAACATTGGTGAGAAGGCCGACAGAGAGAGAAAGGCTTCTCCTGGAGCTGATGCCCTGAATTTGGACTTGTAGCCTACAGGACCGTGAGCGAATAAACTTGTCTTTGTTAAAGCCATCCACTCGTGGTATTTCTGTTAGAGCAGCACTAGATGACTGAGACAACTGCCCTGTAGATCTTCGAACCGACATGGGATTTATCTGATGAGAGAGAAATTCTGACGTGTTAGGCCACTGAGAGTTGGAGGATTTGTTATTGCAGCCTAGTGTATCCTGACAAACACGTTATTTTATAAGAGACATTCTCTGCTGTTATGGATTAAATTGTGTCCCCCCAAAAATACGTGTTGTAAATCCTAAACCCCTATACCTGTGGATATAATCCATTTGGGAATAGGACTTTCTCTGTTATGTTAATGAGACATGTCAGTGTAGGGTATATTTTAAACTAATCACCTTTGAGATATAAAAAGAGCAGATTAGGCACCAAGAAGTAAGGACAAACCGGGGAAGATTGATGCCACGAGGAGATTGCCAAGGCACCGAAGAACAGAAGCTGAAAAGAGACAAGGACCTTCCCCCAGAGCCAGCAGAGAGAGAAAGCCTTCCTCCTGAATTCAAACTTCCAGCCTCCTAACTATGAGAAAATAAATTTGTTTGTTAAAGTCACCCACTTGTGGTATTTCTGTCATAGCAGCACGACGAAACTAAAACTCCTGCTATTCCAAGTTTAAGAGCTTTTGTCATAAATGCAGACTGATTTTTATCAAGTGTGTCTTTCTGCAACTCTTGAAACGATAGGGTGATTTTTCTCTGCTAGTCAGTTAATGTGTCGTTGTTACCTGCTGTTGAGTCAGCCCCTGACTCATGGTGACCCCAGTGTGATTCATAGGGTTTTTACTGGCTAATTTTTCAAAAGTAGCCAGCCAGCCTTTTCTTCCTAGTCCATCTCAGTCTGGAAGCTCTGCTTAAATCTGGTAAGCATCGTAACAACACACGAGCCTCCACTGACAGACTAGTGGAGCTACGCTGGCCAGAAATCAAACCTGGGTCTCCTGCATGGAAGGCAAGGATTCTACCACTGAACCACCGCTGTCCTCATAATGAATTACATTGATTAATTTTCTAATCTGAAATTAACATTGCATTCCTGAGACAAGCCTGATATACTATCTTTTTTATGTACTGATGGGTTCACTTTGCTAATATTTTTAAAGGAAGTAACACGTCTATACTTTTCCTTTCTCTTTCTGTCCTAGTCAGGTTTTGGTATCAACAATATGCTGGCCTCATAAAATGAAGTGGGGAGTTCCCCTTTTTCTATGTTCTAAAAGAGCTTGTGCAGGATTGGTATAATATTTTTTCTCGGGTTTGCTAGAGTTCACCAGTGAAATCTCATGATGGTAAACTTTAATTTGTGTGAAAAAATTTTGACTATTGATTTAATTTCTTTAATGGTTGTAAGATGATTCAGATTTTTTATTTCTCTAGTATAATTTTTGGCAACCTATATTTTTCTGCAATTTTGTCCATTATACTTAACATTTAAAATTTATTGGCAATAAATTTATTGTTCATAATATTCTCTTATCTGTTTAATATCTGCACTGTCTGTAGTGATGTACTTTTTTCATTCCAAATGTTGATTGTGTCTCCTTTCCTTTTCTTTGCTCAATACTGGTCAAGGTTGGTAGTTTTACTAGTCTTTTCAAAGAACCAGATTTGGTTTTATTGATCTTCTCTACTGGATTTTATTTTCTATTTCATCAATTTCTGTTCTTATTTTTATTAATTCCATTCTCCTACATTCTTTAGGGATTCTTTTGCTGTCCTTTTCCAAACTCCTTCTGATGGATGCTCAGAACTAATTAATTTGCAGTTTGTCTTATTTCCTAATATACACATTTCAGGCTATAAAATTTCCCTCTAAGCATGTCTTTACTTGTATCCCACAAGTTTTGATATGTAGTGTTTTCATGATCGTTCAGTTCAAAAATATTTTCTAATTCCCATTATGATATTGTTTGTGATCCATGAGTTACTTATAAGTATTTTTATTACCAAACATATGCGGGATTTTCTTTCTTTTTTTTTTGTTATTGATTTCTAGCTTAGCTGCATTGTGATCAGAGAATATAGTCTATGATTTTAATCACTTGAAACGTGGTAATACTTGGTTTATGTTCCAGTATATGATCAATTTTGGTCCATGTTCTAGGTGTGCTTGAAAACAGTGTGCATTCTATGGTTGTTGAGTGCAGTATTCTGTCCGTTTGGTCAAGATTGCTAATTATTTTGTTTAAACTTATTTTCTTACTGATTTTTTGCCTTCGTTGAGTTTTGGTAGTTTGTGGTTTTTGAGGAATTGGTCCAATTCTTTTCTAAGTTGTTTAATTAATGAGCATAAAATTGTTCTTAGTTGTTATGGATTGGACTGCATCCCCCCCAAAAGATATGTTGAAGTCCTAACCCCTGGTATCTGTAAACATGACCTTGTTTAGAAATAGTGTCTTTGAAGATCTTATCAGTTAAGTTAACATGAGGTCATAACCAAGTAGGGTGGGTCCTAATTGAATCTGAGTGGTGTCCTATAAAAGAGACGAGACACAGAGACAAACAGGAAGGACATCA